TTTTGTTGGTCTCTTGTTCGACTGCGTCCCACACATAATAATCAAGGTGGAGATTCAGGTGGACAGATGTAAGGAGTGCTGTAATCGCAGAAATTGTCTGACATGACTGGGCACTCCTGCTTGTGTGTAGATTCTTGTTGCCAGACATAGTGCCATCCAGCAGACCCCCTCTTGGCCCAGGGCAGCGCTACCTTCTCGGGGCACTTGATGTAGGCCTTCGTGTTCAATTTGAGGCCCTCAACAACACATCTGGGAGTTCTTTTCTTACCAGAACGATTAGTGTGTGTTTTCTGAGATGTCGTACCTTCGTAATCACCATTAGACTCATCCAACTCTTTCCGAATCGTCTGCATTGACATCAAAACACTCCGAAATGTTTGTATCCCACAAAAGACGGCGTGAACGATTTTAAACTCTATCAAGCCTGGAAAGCGAAGATTGTGTAGCTCAAGACCATATATGTCAGCAATACTCTATCTTCTGGTCTAATGTGATGTTGACATATTCTCATGCTGATTTTCTAAACGATGAACGTATTGCGCACCCAGTGAGGATCGAACTCACTGCTCAGTCGTAACTGTTCTAGTGAGACAACCTGCTAAGCATTAACCCACATCGGGATGCCCAAAATGAATTATATGCGTAGCTTAGATGTGGCACAAGGCCTAATGTGTGGATCACCCAGTGAGAATCGAACTCACTACTCAGTCGTAACTGACCCAGCGAGACCAGCATGTTAACCACAGCACAAATAGGCATTCAAATAGACATACATGTTTGAACAGACGTCGATAGCGAGCTTGGTAGCTTTTCGAAATAGTTTATTTCAGTAAAATAAATTGACAGAGGACGGTACTTTTTATGCCTTTGTCGAAAGATAAGTGCATTTGATGCAGACGTTGATAAGCGACTGAATTCGGAAATTCAAAGTCCTTTGAAGAAGAAAAACAGAATCGAAGCGCATATTTGGCTTTTCAGGCCCGTTTGCATACGATACACCAAAGCGATTCGTTTTTCTGTATCAAAATCAACGGCAATTTTGAATGCTTGTCTCGGGTTTGACTTCTAAAAACAGAGCCAGATCAATTTTTCCTCGCGTTGCTTAATAGCCTCTATGGGAACAGGATAAATTTGTATATTCATGAGTACCCGTGATCAAAGAATTATTTAGCGAAATAAAGAAACGCGTGATAAACAGCAAGTCTGCTTGTGAAACCGATAGGCTTCCTTCAACGCCGTTTTCAGGAATGGCTAAACAAACACACGCACACGCAAACAGAATGCGCCCGATCTTTGAGAACATTTATTTCGGCTGAGATAAATAGACGAATGTGACGGAAGTGTTCTAACAGAGATCCGTGCACACTTGTTAACATCCTTTTCGACCATTTTCACATCTAAATATATTATTCAGTGTGAGAGTGGAAGGCAGGCGTTTGCATGTACGTGAGCCAAGTCTGTTTGAATTCAGTTTGTCATAAATCACATATAAATGCTCGTGAAGACCTCGTCTTTTAGGTCAATGAAAGGAACTAAATAAAACTGGTTTTAAATATACTTAGCAGAGGTGAACATAAATATCTGATTTGAGCTGTAAGTACTCCGGTTTAATAATATTTAAAGTGCGTCTTCCGTTCGTATTGACGAACTTAAATTCAGCTGTCGGTATCAATTTATTTCGTAAACCTTGTCTAGACTACAAGAAGACAAACTGGAAGGTTATCAAGGAAAAAAAAGGGGCCCCAAATGCAAATTACAAATCAGCAATACTAAAATCAAACAATCACAAGATTTTAAATATCTGGGAATCGTTTTAACAGGGGACGGGAAGTGTGACACTGAAATTCGAAGACGTATTGATATGGCCTAAGATTCGTTCGAAAATCTAAACAGAAGAAAGAAGAGAGACAAAGAGAGGAGAGAGGCCTACGTGATTATCTGTCGATGAAACCCCTCGACTTCATCCTTGTGCCGAACTTTACCAAAACAGCAACCCAAAGTTTACCAAGTAGACAATAATAATATTACTTCCGAGATAGACGTGGGTTGCGCTGATAATTAATTGCATGCGAAGTCTGATATAAACCAATTACTGTACGAAGGACTGATATAAAATGAGTATTTACTTTTGTTCAGGTTATTCGAGTATATTTTTTTCCTGTACGTCATCGCCCTGCTTGGATCAGGCCAACACGAAGGTACCTGCGACGAATCGATCCTGGCTGCCTTATGATCTAAAAATCACAACGTGGGATAAGTTTGCTCGGGATTGAAGCGGTCACTTCAGCGACCAGCCGCCGTGTTGCAAGTCTTGGATGACCGTCGAGGGTGGTGCACGATTGCAAGCCAAAAGAAAGAAAAAGAGATTTAAAAAAATTATTAAAAGCAGCTGACTAGTTACCATTCCTGTTTCTTGAAAGAACTATAGAGAAATTAAAATACTGTGCAAAAACGACTAAGATTACGTGTAGAGAAATGAATATATGAAATAAATACATATTAATAATATGTTGACACACATATTATTCACTAAAACCAAACCATGAGATACAACAATCATTAATTAGAGAAGACTGAAAACCTATATTTACATAAAAAATTAAAAGAAGGTAGAAAAGACATTTCTTTACGCAAACAAGACTGAAAAAGCCATTTTTACACAGAAAAAGCTGAAAAGTCTGTTTTACACAACGAAAGTTGAAAAGACTTTTTTTTACACAAAGAAGGTTGAAAGGACTTTCACACAAAGGTTTAAAAGGCTAGTTTACAATAAGAAAAGTTTTGATTAAACGAATAGAAAATTTGAAAAAGGCTTGTTTACACAAAGAAGGTTGGAAAGGCGTGATTATCGTGGGAAAGGCGTGATTAGATTAAAAATAATACCACTTCGGAGATAGACGCGGATTGGGTTGACAATCTGATATGCGAACCAATTATTGTACGGAGGACCGATATAAAAAAAAAGGATTTACTTTTGTTCAATTTATTCGAATGTTATTTTTTCCTGTACAACTTAGTCCTGCTTGGATCCGCGATGCACGGACATACCTGCGACGATTCGATCTTAGCCTCCTTCGATCAAACTTCAATCACAACGTGGGATAAGGCAGGTCTGAAGTCGAAGCGATCTTTATCGATCAGCCGCGGCGTTGGAAGTCGAACGGGGAGGGTGTTGTACGATTACAAATCCACCTTTTGGGCAATTCAACGTGGTGTAATTCGCAGCAAGCTTGTCTCGCTCGATCAATTACGACTGAATAGTGAGATCGTTCCGCACTGGGTGTCCCATAAATTTGACCTTGTGTCACATCTAATCTACGTATATAAAACCAACATTTTGGGCACTTCGCCGTGGTGTAAGCAAGCTTGTCTCGCTCGACCAAACACGGCTGAATAGAGGATCCTTTGTAATAAAGCCATAGTCTTACGACCATATCACTTTGAAACACCAGTTCACGAACGATCACCGATTTTAAGCTACATTAAGCCTGGTCATTATCAAGATGGATGACCGCTTCGTAATACCAGATGCTGTAATCTTCAATGTACAGGTGTTATATTGTTATTCGGTGAGCAAAGTTCCAATTCCCATTGTTTCATTATATTCACTTATGCGTAATTGCCCTTGGGAAAGCGATGAATCCATCTGTTCCCCTCCAACTATGGGTTAATTAGTAAGACTTGTATCATTAAACAATAATAATTTTACGATCTAAAAATACTTTCTAGCTTTAAATTGCGATAAAGGCGACATTTTTCAAACGCACATTATCGAACTTATAACGCCCGCTAGGTGGCGTTATTTAAATCAGTTTAATTGGAAAGGGCACAAACCCTCTCTCGATTCTTCCTCTGTTCCACCAGAAGATGCCGGAGTGCAATATGTGTCTGTTTTCATCTACAGGGGATTTCTTTGTCCCCCAGCGTACAACGTGTCTCAATTATCCTAACCTCCTTTTGCAAAAAAAGAATTCAAGGTGGAACAATCTCCACTACAGTCTATTAAATGCATGTTTATCTCCAACCAACACAAAAATGTCTTTTTTTTCCTACTAATTGGGAAAGGTCGCAACAAACTTGTAACCTAATGCTGTTACAACATATATCGATAGATAGAACTTTTCCTGCAGTGAGGTTCACCCTGCACAAGGCAAGAGAGCCACTTCTGACAGAGCCTTACAGAGTAACAGTTTTATGGGATATGCGGGGAAAGTAATGGTTAACCCTAGACTTGAAGAGGTTCAGATTGTATTGATCGGAAAAACATCCTCTTGAGATTTGGGTCCATAGTGAAGTGATTCTCGGAAGAAGTTGCTCGAGTCGAACTTCTCATCATTGCAATACGGAGCGAATGGGGTGGTTTTATACAATGCGAGTAGCAAGGTGGATCCTAGCGGTAAAGGTTAGAGCTGGCGCAAATAAGTAATCTAGTTAATTTGAGCACTTTCTATGGAAATAACGATAGAGCAAGCTTGCAAGGTTTCCTCTCCGAGGCGGGGGGGTTATATGGTGGGAAATAATTTGCCCCCACAAGGACGCATAGACGCTTTTGTGCTCTATCGAGCCTGGAAAATGTAGACATGGTATCTCCTGCCCAAATATGAAAATAGTACTCCATTTTAAGCCTAATCTGGATCTTGTAGAATAGAGAATAGCACTTGGAGTCAGACTACTTATTGTAGGGGTACAGGGAATTGACTATTTTTCATGAATCTTTAGCAATGAATCGAAAGTACGAGTTCCATTTGAACCCTGGGTTGAATTTGAGGCCCAATAGTCGATCAAGACATGGGCCACCTCGAGGGAATATCCATTCTTCGTGATTGGTGATAGTTCAGGGTCCGATCGGAGATAATGAAATGTAACTAGTTTGTTTTTCGAGGTATTGTTTGTAAGCAGCCATTTTTACGCTCACTGAGATGTTAGAACTCGATCGGATGAGAGATCATCTGCCAAACTCTGGTAAGATTTTGGAAATGAACCCATATACAGTTGTATCATCAGATGGATAGATAAAAAACAGATAGACTGGAACAGACTGCGATAGATAGATAGATAGATAGAAAGATAGATAGATAGATAGATAGATTTGAACAGACTGCAATAGATAGATAGATAGATAGATAGATAGATAGATAGATAGATTGGAACAGACTGCGATAGATAGATCTGAGCTGACTGCGATCGATAGATCTGAACTGAGATAGATAGATCTTAACAGACTGCGTTAGATACATAGATAGATAGATAGATCTGAACAGACTGCGTTAGATAGACAGATAGATAGATAGATAGATCTGAACAGATTGAGTTTGATAGATAGATGCATAGATAGATCTGAACAGACTGCGATAGATAGATAGATAGATAGATAGATAGATCTGAACAGACTGAGATAGATAGATCTAAGCTAACTGCGATATATAGATCTGAACTGAGATAGATCTGAATAGACTGCGTTAGATAGATAGATAGATAGATAGATAGATAGATAGATAGATAGATAGATAGATAGATAGATCCAGATTGCGATAGATAGATCTCAACAGATTCCGATAGATAGATAGATCTCAATAGATTGAGATAGATAGATCTGAACAGACTGAGATAGATAGATAGATAGATAGATAGATAGATAGATAGATCTGAACAGATTCCGATAGATAGATAGATAGATAGATAGATCTGAACAAACTGAGATAGATAGATCTGAACTGAGATAGATATATAGATAGATAGATCTGAACAGACTGCGTTAGATAGATAGATAGATAGATAGATAGATAGATAGATAGATATCTGAACAAACTGAGATAGATAGATATGAGCTAACTGCGATAGATAGATCTGAACAGACTGCGTTAGATAGATACATAGATCTGAACAGAATGCGATAGATAGATCTGAACAGATTGAGATAGATAGATAGATAGATAGATAGATAGATAGATAGATAGATAGATAGATAGATAGATCTGAACAGATTCCGATAGATAGATAGATAGATAGATATATAGATAGATAGATAGATCTGAACAAACTGAGATAGATAGATCTGAACTGAGATAGATATATAGATAGATAGATCTGAACAGACTGCGTTAGATAGATAGATAGATAAATAGATAGATAGATAGATAGATAGATCTGAACAAACTGAGATAGATAGATATGAGCTAACTGCGATAGATAGATCTGAACAGACTGCGTTAGATAGATACATAGATCTGAACAGAATGCGATAGATAGATCTGAACAGATTGAGATAGATAGATAGATAGATAGATAGATAGATCTGAACAGACTGCGTTAGATAGATAGATAGATAGATAGATAGATAGATAGACTGAACAGATTGCGATAGATAGATAGATCTCAACAGATTGCGATAGATAGATAGATCTGAACAGACTGCGTTAGATAGATAGATAGATAGATCTGAACACACTGAGATAGATAGATAGATAGATAGATAGATAGATAGATAGATAGATATGAATAGATAGATATAGATAGATTGTAGATAGATTGATGTATATAGATTGTAGATAGATTGAAACCTTGATTTTTTTCTTCGTTTGTTCGTATGTTGCTTTTATTTCTAATAAATTCTGTTTATATATATTTGTAAATATAGTGAAATGCTTATAAGTTGGTGATTTACATATAATCATGATATAATAACTCTGTGTGTGTATGTGCGCGCGCGCTTGAGTGTTTGTGTGTTTAAAATGAATGTTTGTCTCTTATATTATTGATATTCGCATTTCTTTATGTATTCCGGCGGGAAAATGTTGGGGTTAGATTATTCAATCTCTGGTAAAGTGTATAAAGAATATCTCCAATTGATAAGGAAGGGGAAAAAATGGTGTCATGCAACTGGCAATAGAAAAAAATAAAAAGATGAAGAAATATTACTTTCCTCGCATCTACAGAAAATAAAATCGGTTTCTTTGCAAAATTAATATATTGCCTTCCATTCACCCGATTTTAAACCTGTCATCTTGAAAGGAACGATTGTTTCTGTTTCGCAATGGAGGCGTCGAATTTGCCCGCTAAAATTTCCTGGCCTCTTTTAATATTTAAAGGCCTATATTTGTGGTCTTTGCTTAGCGAGCCGAAGAGTTTATCGTTTGTCTTGTTGTTGTCTTCGTTTTTCATTTTGTTTTTAAAACCGATTTATCTTATTTTCTTCTATCCTAAAGCATCACATCGTCTTTCATTTTAAAAACACAATTTTGTCTGGCTTTTTCATCATGTCATGTATATCTATTATTTAAAAAAAATGTTTTGTCTTTTTATTCCTTCTATAACGTTTATTTTTTTTAATTTTTGTTTTCATCATTTTTGTTCTTATTTTTTTTACTTCATTCTTTTTTCTACGTCTCTTCCTCCTCTTCTTCCATCATCATATGGCGTTATCAATTCTTTGTTTTCTTCTGTTTTTCGCGTGCATCTGTTTCTTCGTCTCTTTTGTCTTTTCCGATAAGCCTCTCTTCCACTCCTTTCCACTTCCTTTCCCCCTTTTCATATTTATATTTCATATTTCTTCTTTTCCCTTTTGCTCTTTCTGTTTTTTCTTTCTTATTTATATTTATCACTTCATTTTTCTTCATTTTAATTTTCTTCTTTCTGCTTTCCATTTATTCATACTTCTTTTTTTCTTTCTTCCGTTTATTTATCTGCTTTTAATCTATTTCTCTCTTTCATTCTCAATTTCATTTCTCTCGCTTTTTTTCATTTTCTAATTCTTTTTTTCTTCTTCTTTTTTCCTTTTCGTTTTGCTATCTTCGTTTTCTTTATTTTATCTGGAGGAGGCACGGTGGAGTAATGGATAGCGGCTCGGATTGAGGAATCGGAGAGCCGAGTTCGAATTCTAGTCGAATCCATTACATTCACTTACTTGGGAAAGGTGTGAATCCTCTTCTTCTCCCTCCAGCTATGGGTAAATAGCAGGACAGACTGGGTTCTATAGTCTTGGATGGCAACTGGTCTAGGAGAAAGAAAACTCTGAATTCAAACCTGCTCTTATAGGAGGATGAATGGAGTCTCTCCGAGCCTTGGTTAGCAATCCATTTAGTGTTGGTGTCACGATAAAAACACCCTTGATAGCGCTAGCGAAGCATCAAGAATTTAGCTATTTGACAAGATTATGAACTACACCAATCAAAGTATTAGCTATGACAGATAAGTATTACCTATGACAATCTCGGCTGAGGCCGCAAGATGATGATGATTTCTTTATTTCTCTCTCTCTCTCTTCTTGCAGTTAACTTTACGTTTTCTTTATTTTTATTCTCTATTTCTTTCTACTGAGCCTTTTTCTCTCGTCTTTTTCCTTCATTTAATTCTCTCTCCTTTGCCCTTTTCATTTTTTATTTCTTCTTGTTATCTATTTGGCTCTCCATGTTGCTTTTTCAATCAAATTTTTTTCTTCAGAGTCTGTCTATATTTCTGAGATGAGGTATTATGTACAGTATTTACATTAGTCGGACTATTGTCCTCATCTTTGTCGCCATATTTGTCACAACGTCTCGGCCGTTGTACGCTGGAATTTCGAACTGAACCCTTTATTTCGATCACTGGGGTAGACTGTTCTAGTTCCACGTGCCATGTTTGATGGATGTCAGTTATCAGTTATCTCCTGCTAATTTTCCCTCTGAAAGTTCTCCACTGCCTTAACCGGGTATTGAACTCACACTTTGGGTCTGTCACTGGACCTAACAAACGCCATTATCCACTGTTCCATGTGTCCTTGAGGACATCTGAGTATGAATTTCTGGGTATTATAAACCTAATGTTTCAGTAACCATTTTTTAACCAGTGCTCATATTGCAATTTTGCTGTTATCATTCCATGTTTATACCAGAGCTCATATTGCAACTTTTTTATCATTGCTTTTCTCTGGCACTCTTTATTACTGGTTCCCATATTGTATTTATTTCTATGCTTGATCGGCTCAGGATAAAGGCGTTGGTTAGATACAGTGACAGACCCAAAGAGTGTGAGTTCAATACCCGGTTAAGGCAGTGGAGAACTTTCAGAGGGAAAATTAGCAGGAGATAACTGATAACTAACATCCATCAAACATGGCAGGTGGACACGTTGTGACAAATATCTTTTCACTTCCCTGCTAACTTTATTTCTTCCGTCTCCTTTCTTGGTCACCATCTTTTTATTAATTTCTTTTTCCTTCATGGGTTCGCTAACCTCAGAATTGAATTAATATCCGATCTCTGCAATCATAACTAGGAATCCTTCGAAACTCTTCAGAAAGAAGATAAAAAACGTACGAGTTTCTGAAGAACCTGTATGTATTTGTTCGTCTAATTGCCTCTAGTTACGAAATATTTATTCGCTTACAAGGCTTGTCCAGAAAATTTCTAACCATTTAATATTGACGGAGAGTACTTTTTCATTTTACTCACTTTGCATTCCAACGCATTTGTTCAAGTGAATAAGTAATAATATATGATTTATTTTTTGGCTAAACTGAGCCGGCAGGGGAAGAGGTTTATCCCTTGTTTCCTGTTTAGGATTGGGTTTCCGGTTCCTTCTAAAGCTTTCTTAATCTCAACTCTAATAATCTATGTTTTATTTTTTGATAAATTGAGCCGACAGGAGAAGAGGTTTATCCTTTGTTTCCTGTTTAGGATTGGGTTTCCGGTTCCTTCTAAAGCTTTCTCAATCTCAACTCTAATAATCTATGTTTTATCTTTTTGCTAAACTAAGCCGACAGGAGAAGAGGTTTATCCCTTGTTTCCTGTTAAGGATTGGGTTTTCGGTTCCTTCTAAAGCAGCCTTCTCAACTTCTTTCAATCGTTTTAACCGTTTGCATCATGGTGGCATTATTACCTTGCTTGGGGTGAATTGCTTTTTATTTTAATTACAAAGCAGAAGAACCACTCAAGGTAAGGGTTACTGAATAAGGTGTGGTATATTAAAGTAGGAGGTGGAAGTGAAGCGTATGTGGTTACGGAAATAAAAATTGACTTGAATAGATTCAGATTGTAGTTTTAGAGAAAACATCTATCCAGGAGACTGTATCACAAACTAGCATAAAATTTTGAGTAGAAAATATATCTTAAATATCTATAAATCTACCATTCGTCCATTCTTAGAATATTACTGTCACATATGGTCCTGTGCCGCTGAGCTCCTTGATAAAATCCAAAGAAGAATCAGCAATATTATTGGTCCTGATCTGGCATCTCGGTTTCAGTCGCTTACACACCGCCGTAAGTTTACCTCTCTGTGCCTTTCCTATAAACACTTTCATGGTAATTGTTCGGATGAGATCTTAGCTATGGTACCTAGAATTTTTACGTTTAAGTGCAGAACTCTTCTGGCGTCGAGATCTCATTAATTTACAGTTGAGTTGGCTAGATGTAGCCGTAAGTTTTATGCTAATAGTTTCTTTTCTCGCACTTCTTGCTTGTGGAACTCTCTTCCGGTTCCCTGATTCTCGGCCAACGTTAATTTACATAAATTTAAATGCAATGTCTATTGCTATCTGCTGTTCTCCTGATTACTCTTTCCTCTTCCAGCACATTAGTAATGATTCTGTTCCTAATTCTTCCACACCCTGTAACCCCTTGTGTCTTGGTGGTTTATTGCCTTGCATGGGGGGGATACCGATCAAACAAAATAAATTTACATATCCTATATTATATTTTATTATTTAAATATATTGTCAAAGAAGGTAAAATTCGTTGCATTTATCTTGATACCATTTTCAACTTTGAAATGACGTAGAATTTTTAAAAATTTAAACACAGTACCAGATTGGCGTCGAGATCTCAATTTACAGTTGAACTGGCTAGATGTAACCGTAAATTCTTTGCTAACAGTTTCTTCTCTTGCACTTCTTGTTTGTGGAACTCCCTTTTGGCTCCATGCTTTCCAACCAACATTAACCAGAAAAGATTTAAATGCAAAGTCAATCACTATCTATTGTCCTCCTGATTACTCTTTCCTTTTCCCGCTCATTAATAATGATTCTGTTCCTAATTCTGCCACACCCTGTAACCCCTTGTTTCTTGGTGATTTACTGCCTTGCATGCATTGATACCGATTAAACAAAATAAATTTATATATCCTATATTATATTTTATTATTTAGATACATTGTCAAAGAAGGTAAAATTCTTTGCATTTATCTTGATACCATTTTCAACTTTGAATGGACGTAGAATTCTTTAATTTAAGCACAGCACTAGAATGGCGTTGAGATCTCATTAATTGACAGTTGAACTGGCTAGATGTAGCCGTAACTTCTATGTTGACAGTTTTTTTCTCCCACTTCTTGTTTGTTTCTGGCTCCATGCTTTCGAATCAACATTAATCTGAAAAGATTTAAATGCAAAGTCAGTCGCTATCTACTGTCCTCCTGATGAATTCTTTTATCTTCCTGCTCATTATTAATGTTTCTGTTCCTAATTTTTCCACACCCTGTAAACTCTTCTTCCCTAGTCGCTTTAATGCATTGCATAAGGTGATACCGATTTAAAAAAAATCCTTCTTACCAGTGGAATACGTAAGGAATATGGCGGATCCAACCCTGTGGACGTATCGAGTTGGGTATTGGCCGTAGAAGTCTGAACTGGTGGTACCAAAGGATGGCACTCGTCAGACGATATTACCATGGGAGTAGCAATAGAGTTGTAACGTTGTTTATCTTCTTCTTCTTCTTCTTCTTCTTCTTCTTTTCTTCTTCTTTTTTAACGTTGTTTATCTTCTTCTTCTTCTTCTTCTTCTTCTTCTTCTTCTTCTTCTTCTTCTTACTTTCTTTTAACTGTTCATATTTTTTATTTATTCTTATCTTTCTCTTTCCATTTTCTTCTTTTTCTTCTTTTTTCTTCTTCGTTTTTATTTATTCTTATCTTTTTTTTTCTTTTTTTCGTCTTTTTTCATTTTCTTTTTCTTTTTCTTTCTCTTCTTCTTCTTCTTCTTATTATTATTATTATTATTTTCTTCTTTTTCGTCTTTTCTATTATTATTAGTAGTTTTAGTTTATTATCAGTATTAATTTTTTAGTAGTAGTAGTAGTGTATCTTTCTTCTTCTTCTTACTATTATTATCATTTTATTTTTTATTATTCTTCTTTCTCTTTCTTTTTCTTCAACTTTTTCTTCATTTTCTTCATTTTCTTTTTTCTTTTTTTCTTTTTATTCCTTCAAGCGTTTTTTTCTTTTTTCGTTTTTCTTATGTTTCTCTCTTCACACAACTCTTTCTGGCGTGTATTCAAATCAAAGTTAATGTCACATATATTTCTTTTATTCACAATGAACTCGCAACCAACCATAAAATCAAAGTGGCCTAGAATTCTTCGCCTGTTTTCGAACAATTTGTATGCCCATACAAAACAATATG